GCGCATTGTGGAAGATACAACCCTTGACTCGAAAGACTTTAACCGGACTGCAACAACTTCTTTGAATACTAAAAACTACTTAAGCGCACTGATCTCACTCGGTGAACTGACAGAATAATGGGACAGTATGGTAGTGTACTTCTTAACTACGAAACTAGACAATGTTGCGCGTCGCGAATGGAAACGCATAGCATCGAACATTCGGGGTAGTCTGTGCGCAACAGCATAAAATTTGGCGAAAAACACTGCAGGTATCTTGAGAAGGTCAGCGCGGACAAAGCGATGTTTATAGACAAGCAAATTATCGCCAGGGAAACGAAGACAAATCGACACAGAATCGTCACTGCTCCTCTCGCAAATTTGGCACCGGCATGTTTACTATGTAAAGGAACATAGATTATACAACTGCAACATCTTCCTGAAATTATCACCGACGGCAAGAATTTCCAATAAACAAGAACTACGCGCATGTGTCAACTGCTTACAGATGGAACACAGGACTGTAGGTTGTACACGTGGGACATGTCAAAAATGTTCGAAAAGTCATCACACACTTTTACATTAACCAATATTCACATGAACCGTCCCCGGTCATAAAGGCATCGTCTCCTTCGCGCGGCCATTCATCAAAGAACAATAACGTACGTCCATAAGCTCGCCCCAAGACCATACTACGACATAATCATGTATTTCGGGAAACCGCATCAGCTCCCATTCTCGCAACACGAACTTTTTAACACATCGGCGGCACAGTCAGTCGCATACCCACACAGGACTTCTACATAGATGATATTTTAACCAGGACAGACTCCATATTAGAAGCGAAGGACCTAAAAACATGCTTATCCTGGATTTTATGTGCTTCATTTCTAGAACTTTGTAAATGGACCACTAATGATAAACGTATATTGTAAGCAACGAAATTTCAACCAAGGTTTCAAGTAGTCGCAGAAAGAGATTCAGGGACTCTTGGTCTTTTATGGAAATCGGGGACATATTTCGATACACGGTTCACGAGATTTCAAGTCGTCGCGTCACCGAGCGGATGATATTATAGCAGATCTCGTAGATCTTTAACCCCCTCGGACTCATTGAACCAGTCGCAATTCAAGCAAAAATATTCTTGCAAGAACTGTGGCAATTGCAAATTTCATGGAACAAATCTCTATCTCAGTATCTGCACTCACAATGAATATCCTTTCGGGCCAAACTTCAAGGGATTAATCACATAATCATTCCGAGAAGTGCGCTACCTACAAGGACATCAAGGGTCGAAGTGCACGAATTCCTTAGGATAACGGATTATCCTAAATTTATGGTAAGGTTGACACATCTGCTATATTTCAGAATTCGTACTTTCACTTTCTTAGTATGTATTTTAACTTTACGATCAAGAGAAACGCCTAACGCTTAATTGGTTTTTTAAACGTTTGGCCTTTCCAGATCAATAGCAACTGTCGTATATTTGCACGACAATAGACAACCAGGGCCTAACGGATTTTTCAGAATATTCCTCGGTCAGCACATGGACGCACTTGACGTACCGACAACATGACAGGACCTGAACGCCAGGACTCAGATACCCCCGAATTTTCCTATCCTTCCCATTAGATAGGACTAATTTCCCACCTTTTTTCGACGAACGTGAATAAAAAGGACCGGGACACGCGAGACGGGGATTATTCTGAATATAACACACTTGAGACTATGAACACACCAGACATTCAGAATTTTCATCAGTGAACTAGAACTACTTGAACATTACATTGTTGTTATTGTTATTAAAAATTGTTGCGAATAAAAATCATAATTTTATTTGCTCAATAACCATGCTTCACGTTCCTGTGGAGTTAATAACATATTGAAATTCAATGACTTTTCATTTAAGTCTTTCTTACTAAAACATGCACCAGCTAGCGAGGTCATGATTCTTTTATTAGATTGCAAACTTAATTTTACAGGTCTACTTAAAGTATTTTGTGCCAATAAAACAGGCAGCTGTAAAGTCAAGACCATAGTAGTTTCAGTAGGTAATGGCTCACATTCAGCTGATTCCTGTTTATATGTTGCAACAAATATAGAGTGTTTTTCAGTTTGACCTATCCTAGTCGATTTATTGAATATAAACTTCCAAACTTTATCCCCAGTGTCTTTCTTTATTTTTCTGCTTTCTGGACCAACTTCATAGATAACTTTAGAGGTAAACTCAACAGCCATAGATTTTTCCTCTAATTCCAAAGGTTCCATATAGTCGAAACAGTGTTTCATGAAAGAAACCTGTAATGTCTTCTAATCAAAATTTAGACCGGTATGTTTAGACATAAATTCTGCAGTAGTGAACCCTACAATGGTAAACTCTTTAGCAATTGTATGAGTTACTAAGTCTTGAGGTTTGGCATCTGTTATCTCAAACGTTGCCATAGTTACAATTGAAATTATAAACCGTAGGTATGTTGAAAATATCAGTAAAATTAAGTAAACAGAATTCAAAAATATGATTTAATTCAATTAATCTACCAGATAATTCTTCTAATTCAGTATTAACTATAGATCTGCCATTAACTGAAGACAATTTGAAATTAACATCAACTTCTTCAACCAAGTTAGTACTATATAAAGCAGTAACAATAAAAGAATTATCAGAAATATGAAATTGTAGTTTGTCAAATGGAAAGCCACATTCACAAATTTGATAGGTGCAAATATACTCTGCCAAATTGTTCTTTCTTATTCAGCTCCTGTGTTAATATGCTTTAGTACAATGTATAGTCTGTAATACATTTAGTCCCAGCGTACGGCTGCTCACTAACGAATGTTTAATAAAATAGGTTAATAGAACAGCAAGTATCCCACTAAGATCAAGTGTTATTGCCCGTGATTGTTGCAAAATCAACTTTCGAGCTTGGTTTGTACTTGCACGTGGTGTGCCAACTTTATTTCAAAACCTTCTCGAAGGACCACCAAGTTATACTGGGACTAGTGAAGTGGTTACAATTTGAGCTGGTTGCTCCTTGGTGATTGTTGGACGAATGAATCTCGACGTCGTCCCTCGGACTTTCGTGGGAGAGTTTTTCGTTAAAGCACGCTGATTGGTTAAATAGTTAACAATTACATTTACCAATCAGGGCGTCTAATAGCGTCTTCACCGCCCTTCCAGTGCGCCCTTAGCGCGCTGTCACCTTGGAAGGGTGGGAGACGACCGCGTGGGGTAGGCGGAAAGTCCCAAAAGCTGGAATTTCCTCCGGGTGACTCACCGGCAAGCGTACTGTTCGGAAATTCGTGGTTTATGTCATGTTCTTAGGCTATTGAGCGCGAGGGACAGAAATGACTAAAAATCCAACAAGCAATTC